CGTGGTATACCCGTAAATTTAAAAAAATGACATACATAGTTACAAATAAAAAAGAAGGATAAAATAAACAAAGTGCGAAGTAAAAACAGAAAAAGAAAACTAGAACATGCATAATAATTGCAAAACACAGATTTTTGAAAGAGAAGGTTGTGTCAAAACAAAATGCCATAGAATCCCCAAAGGAAAAGGAATTGCGTTCGTAAAAACTAATATTCACGGCATATTATATACGATCAGCCTAATACCAGGTCGCATGTAATTTAAAAAACTGTTCCCTCATAGCTGAGTCGCGTACGTAAGACGTGAAACCGGAATCTCTTATGCATATTTGATACAATCGAGCCGGGATATTTGCCTACGGCATCGAACAGAACGTAACCGAAGCATTTACGACGAAATTTTAGTTTTACTTTGCTTATTGAATTTTCAGATAAAAGTATCATATTATGTTAAAGAATATCATCGGCCTAATAAAATTTAGGAACCCCATCGTTCTTACTAAGCTACGTCCCATTTGAATACCCGGTGTTCTAATTCGCGCAAATATCAATATTTGTTTGAGAAATATTTTTTATAGAGTCAGAAGTATTGTGAATGCAGATTCGTTGGAAGTTTCTAGCATTGCATCCAAGGCAACCTCAAAGAAGAGCGAACTCAATGCGAACGTAGTGCGGCGACTTCTCAGTTTACTCTGCAAGTGCGACGCGAATATTGCAGACCTAACCAAATTGAAAATGTTTAATTATAAATATTTTCTTTCCTCAAATACCAAAGCCTTATAAAATAGATTTTATAAAGCAAGATATAAATGACGCATCAACTTATTATGAGAAAGTAAAAATTAAGGTTTGAGTTCCGGAATACTAACATAATATATAAACTTAATATAGTAACGGTACATAAAAAAGTTTTGTGGATTTTCTATCTTTTATATGTCAACCAGGGTTCAAAAGTAATAACCCGGGTTCAATTCAAGAGCACCAAACAACTGTACAACGTCGACAACTTGTTAAGTTTGAATTGCTTTAATATATACATTGCCTACTGGATGCAAGTGACTAGGACCATGTTTTATTGCAATTTATGAGGGAGGCCTATGTTCAACTGTGAATTTATGATGTGCTATAATTATACTGAAAATCCTAAAATTATCATACAGCGACGCTACGACCCTTTGCGGCTTTATACCTCCTCGACGATGTTCCGTTTCGCTATTCTTCAGCCTCCCTTTTTCGACATAGCCCTTCCACCCATTTGCTGGGTTTTCCACTGGGTCTTTTCTCTTTCTTTTTGTAAGTTTAAAAATGTAATTTGCATGACGATGTTGTGACCTGAATTTCAAAAGAATGTTTCAGAGGTTTCGATACATAGATAAAATGAATTTTCTCGGGATGATATGACCGTCAAGAAATGTGTATACTCCGTACTAAAGGCTGACAAAGCATCTACAGTTCCTCAAATATTGTAGATGTTCAATTATTATCATCATGATGGCCGCGTGTTACTTTGCCCCCACTTCTATAAAACACTATACTTTGAAACATTACGTTTAAGTAATACTTCGGGCATGAGTTAGTTAGGACATATAATACTGTGGTTAGGACCAGCGGCAGATTATCCTTAAGGCAAACTAGGCACGTGCCTAGAGGCGCAAGCTTATGAAGGGGAGCGCACGAAAGTTTTTAAAAGAAAAAAAATTAAACAATACTTGCATAAACTAAAATAAGACATGCATTCTCTAGAGATGTAGAGCTTGCAAAACTGGCGAGTTTTCCAAACTATAGACGTAATAGACGGGGCACCGTCTACTACGTCTATAGTTTATTTGGAAAATAAGTAGACATAATTTAAAATACTAGATGGCTGCCAGGCGCCGATCATTTTTGTTGTTCTGTCGACATTTAAGTCGCCACTGGTTCGAACTAATGTCCTTCAGCTAGAGTTGTCACAGAGGTTAGAATCAACGATGAAAATTTAGGTATGTCACATTCATAACCAGCCAAGAAAGCAACGGCTATAAATGAAAAGCTTGATGAAAACCGTTCGTGCTTGACCGAATTTTCTAATCCCTAACGTTTAGTACGTCATCTGTACTGATGGCTCGTGTGTCATGACACTTAAAATTAATGGTCACGATACGGAAAGCAGGCGTCGATAATAATAATATCAAAGCGCCAATTTTAACTGCGTTTTAATCCAACATAAACAGCGAGAGGACGTCGTATTATTTTATAACTAGCCACCTACTTTAATTTGCATTCAAACTTATACTCACTTCATCTAAAACTCACACAAACGCGAGCTTAGGCGCCTCGCATACGCAACTTAATACACACGAGTAAATAATTAATGTTCTTGCTCATACAAGCACCGTAGCCTTACAGAGTTTGTAGCGAAGCCTTTGAAAATTTAAAACCGCAAACACGATACGCGTGCTAAAGGCGTTTTCAGTGGTTATTATGAGCCATATTTACGAAACATTTAATGGCCGCCAGTGCGAAAGTAGATGAAAACAACTCAGAATTGTTTTATTTGACTAAAGACTTTTAGAATAATGCTAGTTCTCAGCAGTTTAGTTAAATATAATAACATATAATAAATAATTAATAAAATTATTCATATTAATAATAATTGATAAAAATTGTGCAAAAAGTGAAACATATAACTATTCTTCCGAGTTTAGAAGGAGTTGTGTTGTTGGGAGTGTTAGCTGTGCTAGGCCTAAGATAGCTTATTAGCTAAACTTGTAACGGGAACCAGCGTCGACGATGCGAAACATCTGATACTGCAATCGTAAAGGTGCCAAGGGCAAGGGTGACGATTAAGGCAAATTCTGTCTACAATGTAAGAGACCCATATCCAGCAGTGGAAATTTACGGGCTGATGAAGTGCAATTGGTAAAATTAAAATTTTGTACAACCGACTTCAATATAAATTATTAAGGGTAACTCAAAAACTACTGGTCATACCTTGATCAAATTTATATGGGGCCACATGAGAAACACCAGCTTTAAAGTTAAAAAAAATCATCGAAATCAGTTTACCGAGAAAAAAGTTAAAGTAACACGTAAAAAAAACATACAGTGGAATTGAGTACCTCCTCATTTTTGAAGTCGGTTGAAAAGCAGTTGAACGTTGTAACACAGACACTGAGAAGCCTCTCTTTTACTGCGCTTATAAAGCACTATCTCTTACAAAGCTAACGTTTTGACAGTATTTAAAAGTTGTACAAGATATCGACTAGGAGTACATCATCATTCTCACAAAAGCACCTATAGCATGATGTTTACCCTTGTTAAATAATAATTTTATAATTTAATCATCGAGAAATGAGATAATAGCTGAATGAATTACTTTTAAAACATTGATAAGTGCTGGTAGAATAAATATGGGGCGAAAATTAGTGCGATCACTTTTACTACCAGATTTAAGTACAAAGTTGTACCACCATATACATCAAACTTATATAAAGAAATCTGTTGTGTTTTCATGAAGTCATTAACAAGAAAAGGAGACCCTTTTTACTGGTATCAAGGCATTCCATTTTAGTCCTCAGGGATGAACACGCATCTGCATTTAATTGAGGATAGATGAGGGTGTCGATGGACCACAGCATCCACTTACCATCAGGTAGACTGTGTGCTCGTTTGTCACCCTTAGTTTTATTTAACAACACTTATTGAATGGGGTTTATTTTACAAGCTTCTTTATGCTTTATCCATAAGATAAAAGCCTAAAGTCCATTTGTGAAATATCTGCTTCAAAACAATTTAACAAATATGTAAGCAAAAATAACAATTTTCGCTGACTAATTGGTATATACATAAACTGTTAATTTGATATTTTTTTATTTAAATTTCACAAACAAAAGAAATCATACAAAATAATGTTTTATACACGATACATCGATGCATCGATTGAAACAATAACGAGATAAAGATATCTTAAAATGTAATTTACGATACATAACGATACGTAAGCAAACACTTTACAATAAATTTAAGAAATCAAATTAAACTCAAATTACAGAGTACAATACCACAATAGCATAAGAGAACACACTACACCATATCACCCCGTGGGTGTCTTCCTGATAACATCTGAAAAATAATAAGAAACAAGCGTGGCAAATATGGCTGGCGAATAACGCCCTATGATATTCGTTGGGGGGGAAGCCTCTAATTATTAATGACATAAGCATATGATCCCAATATGGCGAATTCTAACTATGTAATGATTGCTTTTTAGTAAGTTACCGTTACTGTTACAGCCTAGTAAACTGCTATCCCCCACTGCTGAACATAGGGCTTCCCCATAGATTGGCTCATAGGGGGTTATTTACCATAGTTGCCACGGTTGGCAAGCGGGTTGGCAACCGCAGCGTTATAAGACGCTGCTGCCCATCTCCGGATTGTTTCCCTTTGTCGCCTCTTACGACCTCCTCGGCGTGATATGTGGTAGTGGATATTCTGACATCGCCAATACACGGCAAAAATAGTAAATATACACAAGTAAAAAGTCAATAAGTTTATGTACAAGATACATTTACAGTCTTTGTAGGGGAATATGCGGGAGGGACACAGTCAGTTTACAGAAACAAAAATGGGTGGCAATGTATGGATTCCGTCATAAATACAAAAGTGATGTTAGAAAATCTATCATATGTGTCATCTTTGGCTGCAAACTTTTAATAATTGGTAATAATTCGTTTTAATTGATGCATGTAGCATATGTTTATAACTTAGTGTTACAAAGTTATTTTTATTTTTGATGATATATTTCACTTGACATGATATTATACTATATTATATGAATTATATGAATGTAACAAATAATTGTATTTTATTCTCCTGTTATTTATTTAATTTAATGTTTCACTAAGGATAATTTTATACATATATACTTCTATTTTTTCGATAGGCACTTGATGACATTTGTAAATAGACCTGTAAGGTATTATTATAGTAAATTGTATAAATGCTTATAAGTTCTGTGAATAATTATGAAGGTAAAACAGTCACTGTAAAATTTTTCGTATCACATAATTTTACTTCATTTATACATTTTATCAACCAATTCTTGGTGACATGTCTAACATTGGAAGGCAATCTCTTTCTTAATTTCTGCATTTTGCTGAAATCTATACACTTATCTTTATGAACAACATAGTCAACATCCACGGACTTCATTGATTTTACAACAACACCTCCATATGCAATCCAATGCCTTTCGAAATCTCTTCTATCTTCCTCCGGGAAGCTTATAAAATCAGGATAAAAACCCAATCTTTTACCCGTAAAAACATCTGGCAGAGGATTTTCTGGTACTAATTGATATTTGATATCATTTGTTTTACTCTCCTCGTAACTTACTGTACTAGTGTCACTTGTAGTGTCTGACGAATTTGATATATCCACATCTTTAGTTTTTCTTTTCTTATGTGAACCCTTATTTGTTAGAAATTTATCAATTCTTGCAATACTATTTGATGTTTCCTTTTTTATTATACTTCCTGAAGTTTTGACTGGACTATTTTTAAGTTTCTTTGGAGGTGGTTCATCATCCTCAGCTGCAGTTGCTGCCAGGTTGTTAAGAAGAGAAACATCAGTTTTCTCTTTGGATGTTTTATATAATTCTTTTAACTCTTCTAAATTAGTTGCAGTCTCCCAGTCTTTATCATCTCTTATTCTTGTTACTCTTGGAAACCTCACTGATATACCATCAGCTGTGTGAAGATTTGCTTTTGTTAATTCAGTACCTGCAACACAAAAATAAATTTCTGAAATATTACTATGGATTATTTAAAAAAAATGTAACCTGACTACAATGATAATTGGATCTGGTAAAAATTTTTATGTGAGCACTGTTAAAATAGTATTTTTATAAAAAATTAAAAAATCTGCAAAAGTGGTCAAGGATGTTTGGTGATATTATGTTACACATTAAAGAAAAAGGAGAGAGAGTCAATTTAATTGACCTTTTTCAAAGTTATTAATAAATAATAAAAAAAAATTTAGTAAAGAAGTATGTACCTACGTAATGACAATTATAATACAATATTCTGTTTAGTTTTTCTGGCTAATATTACAAATTTTTATTTTATGTATTAAAATACAGAAAGGTACCTTATATAAAGTAAAATATGTAAAATACTAACCAGTTATCTCCCACACTGGTTGATTTTTTGGATCTTTTGCAATAAAATCTGGTACCATTCCTTTATTACAATCCAACCAAGAAGGTAATTTCGTATAATCTTGTGATATTTTCATCATGAGGGGTCCTAACTCTTTCTGCAACCTTTCTAATGTGCTGTCATCATGTCCTGTGTGAACCTTAGTGACTGTCACCCAACGATTTCGCCGAGCATCTAAACATCCCATTAAAAACACCGACATCATTCCACCTTTCTTGCCAGTCCCTGAAATTTAAAAATAATAACTAAACTTTTATCTTTTATAAGCCATAAATTAATAAGAATTTCCTGACAAATATTTTATATATATAGGTACTCAATTATTAAGTATATTTTTATTATATAGCAAGCATTGTACATCTGTCACAGTATACAAAAAGTTATTTACAATTATTATTATTATAATAAGTTTTCCGCAACTCCACGTCTAAGTGCGTATTTTGCAACATTAAAAATATTAACATATATTTTAATATTTCGGTCTTGCCGTATGATGACAACGAAAAAGAATCCATCGCCTATTTCCTAAGGTGAATGTCGTAAGAAGTAAATGTGGGAAATGCTAGAAAAATCTTATGGCTTTTGATAGATTGGGGCATAATCTTGTTTGTCCTAAAATACCTAGACCTGCGACAAGGAGATCTAGTCTTATTTAAAGAAAATATTTTTTCTTTAATGAATTCTAACTAATAATAAAATATTGAAACTGTAGTAAATTTGTCAGCTTTTTTTTTAATAGTCCACCTACAGTATATGGATACTGTGGCCCGTAGACATCTACATTTATCTTCGATTAAGAATCAATATGCAGATGCATTGTCACACCTGAGGACTAAGATGGAATGCCTCGTACACAGTAGAAAGGGTACTCATTCTCTCACGATGGGAAACTCAGCATCATTCAGCTACTATTTTACACTAGTATTCTGTGCGAGTGTTTCTTCGTAGTCGAATCGACCCTTTTGTTCTACCACCATAATATAGCAGCATCAACATACATAATAATTTTAAATTAATAAATCTTAAGTTGTACTCAAGAAATGTCTACCTGCTTTGTATAAATACTCTTTTACCAGACTCTTTTACCCTATAGTATATTCAAAATATTATTTCTCTGTGCTCTTATCACATCAGAACAATTAAATAACTAATAACAAAGTGAGAATGGCAGTGAATGGCCATAAATGGCTTTTACCTGCATAAAACACTACTAAATAACTGGCTTAGTGCAACTCGGCCTGTGCATGAAGGGTTCCATACGATTGTAAGACATGTTTCTAGTGGAGGAGCCCCCTTTTATTTTTATTATTTGTTGTTTAGCCGCAAGAGAAATACAAATTCTGTAAAAATTTCAACTGTCTACCTATTACGGATCATGAGATATAGTCCACTGACAGACAAAAGGATTTACAGCAGAGGTTTAGTAATGGCGTCCCATTGATTATCCTTCCGGTACGAAACCCTAAAAACAGCAAATAACAGAAACTGTCATTTTTAAGTTGGATATTTTTATTAACATTTTTATAATAAAAATATATATAACAACGTAGGCATATTAACAATAATTTTATGTTATAAGCTCACTCATGAGCACTGTTGGTGAATGGTCCAGTTACTTGGCTGTTTGGTATTTCGTTAATTGACTTCATTTATTATTTCTATGTGCTTTATCTTATTATCTGTGTCTGAAAACCATTGGCTATGCAAGGGCATCAGCTTACAACATATGTACCTTCTGCTAGACATGTTGTCTCTTTAATATATCTAATTATTAAGGTCACAACCTTATGTATAACTTACCAAACCAAGCTCCAAGTACAACCAAATCTGCAGTGTCGGCCATAGCTCCATCAAATAAATAATCTTTTTTCACTTTCAACCAATGCCTTTTTCCTGGTTCATATGTAGACTCCAGATCCTTCAACACCAGGCCTTCCAAACCAAGTTGTAAAACCTAAAAGTTAATTATGATTAAAAAATACTACTATATCAATTAGAACATACATATCTATCGGATGTTAACTACAATATTAATTGTAAATGTAAAAATAAAATAGTGAATAGTTTGCATTTATTATTTAATTTGCGATTCATTCAACTTTTGAAAAAATTTACTATTAAATATCATAGAATTTCATTACAAAGAAAAGTCCTAACTTTTTTTTAATTTAAGGGGTGCCATTCATTTTTACATCCTATGAGAAATCTACTGCTGAACATGGGCCTGTCCTATAGATTACCACAGAAGTAGGATGTCTGTCATAATTACCATATTTGACAGACAACTGCAGTTTTTATTTTATTGTAAGGTGTTATCAACACCATGCTGCTGCCCATAGCCTATTTACTTTTAGACACCGGGAAGATATGTGGAAATGGACAATGTTTTGATACCACTACATGGCATTTGAATCCTTCTTTATTTTTATTTAAATATTGTTAGAAATTTAAATTATAGTGTTATTTTCTGAAAATTTTTAGTACACCCTCACCTGAGGGTGTACTAAAACACCTCACAGCCACCTCTTAGGTGTAATACAAACCTAGATCAACTGCACAGTAATCAACACATCGACCAGAACAAGCAATGAAATAGACCTACAAAAGCAAGTAAAAACTTGTTTAAAAGCCATATTTATTCTGAAATAGCATTATAAATTACATACATACATACAGTGTTACTCTTCTAATCCGTGAGGGAATAGGTAAAGGTGGTAAACTCCATATTTAGCCAAAAAACATTGATTTAGACAGAAAATAGTGAATGAAGTGATAAGTGGGTAGAGCTTAATTTCTACCCGATCATTAGACTAATATCTCAATAGCCACCTTCTACGGCATGCCAGGCAAGTAACACAAAATTGTCACAATCTTTTTTTGTAATAAGTCCCTATTAAACACTGAACCAATAAAACTAGACCAACGTAGGACATCATAATTTCTTATAAATTTAAGATATTAAACATAAAGTTACAGCCTACTACGCCCCTACTCACACACACACACGGCACAGGTCTTCTGTCATTTCTAAGGTGTTAGGGCTAGGAAAAGTACACCGTGCTGCCCCAATGCATGTTGGTGGACGTCACATGTCCTGGAAATATTTCTTTTCATTTCTAAGACATGCAGGTATTCTCACAATGTTTTCCTTCACCATATAGCACATGGTAAATCAGCACTTAAAATTGTAATTAACTATTTCATTGGTGCCAGCAGGATTAAAACTAGGGTTGCTTGTGTACTGTGATGTTTACAGTGAGCGCTTAGCGCCTAAGTTATCACGGCTCTATATTAAACTAAATTAAATTAAACATAATTAGACAAATTACCATTGCAATCATTTTAGCTAAATCAGCTGATTTCTTTATCAACTGCTGCTCAGAAAACATAACATGATTTTTGACCTCAACCATATTATCATGCAAGACCTTTCTTCGTTTCTTTATTGAATAATCCATCAAAATCTCTCCATTGTAGTAAAGGCAATCAAACACATACAGACAAACCTCAGCATCTTTGAATGCAGACTGTTTATGTATACCTAATGTACCAAATGGTAATGGTTTCCCCGTATTTACATCAACCATAAGGACCTCTGCATCCAGTATTAAATCTACTCCTTTTGGAAATGCTTGCGGCAAGTACTCTTTAAAGTGATTTACTTTATGAGCCATCACTGGTTTTAGGGCACGAGAAAAATATTTAAACTCATTGCCCTTTTTATGAACTTGGACTCTCTCCCCATCATATTTTATTTCTGCAAACATTCCATTAGGACATTTTTTCATAGCCATCTCAACTGACTTGCAGGCTTCAGCTAACATTGGCAATACAGGTGTCATAAGAACTAACTTTGCTTGCATAGATTTTTGAAAGGAATCTTTATGTTTTATTTTATCACTTTGTGACAGAATTCTGTCCAAAACCATTTTCAAATCTCTTGATGTTTGAAATACATTATAAGCATCTGGATGAACACCTTCTAAAATATGTTTTGGTCCAGCGTTTATTCTTAAATCACCTTTAATTAAACGGATTAACATTTTCAAATCGTCTAAACTACACTTTTTTACAATTTTCTTGAAGTGATATATCTGCTCCTCTTCTCGAGTCAGCTTGGAGAGATCTTCAAGAAAAACTTCCACTTCTTGAATTGAAAGTGTACTTTTACTTGCTGGCTGTACAGTTTTTGAATTTGAAAAAAAGAATTGAATTGTATCAGCTACATCCCCTTGTTCCAAATGTGTAAGCATATCATCATGATCACTTTGAAATATACGTGAAAATAATTTTACAAGTTGTTTACTTTTTAAATTGTATACTCGTTTTGTCACTTGAGGTAGAAGCAACTTGCACCATAATGCAAGGTCACCCTTAAAATGATCACCTTCACAACCTTGTGTAAAAAATTTATTAACAACAGCAGTTTTTTCTGTGTACGCATCCACTTTTGCTATTTGATTACACAACTTAACAAATGTTGAAAACTTATTGTCTTTTATATCTTCATTATCGCTGCTAGCATAGGTTTTAGAATCAATATTAAGAGGCTTTGACTCATTTTTGATAACTTTTGCTGTGTACTTCCCACTGTTTTTCTCTGCAAAAAGTTGTTCGGTTTCATTAATTTTTTTTAATATATATTCTTGATCGTCTTTACTCAAATTTTCCCAATTTCCAATATCGTCAATAGAATCAACCCGCTTTGTAGTGGGACGTTGCTTCAATAAAATATCCATAAAGCAATCGACATGATACCAAGATTTCATAAATTGATTTTCTCCGTAAGGGCTAGGAACTAATTTGGCTAAGCGTAGTTCACCATTTGGGCAGTTACCCTTGCAGGCTTTGCAAGAAGCTCGACCTCCTTTCGCCCGATCAACATAAAAAGGCGTAGTAGATTCTGCCATTTTCAATACATGTAAATTTACGTACACTCAGAAAATAAATATTTCATAATTTAAATATTTTATATGTAATACATACAATAACTTTATATTTTTGTTGTTTTGAAGTTTGAAGTCTGTCACTGTCATGTCATAGATAAGGTGATTACTATCATAAGTAGAACGTATTTATTACTCTTTGGTCACACGTAACCACACAGCATAGAACACAGCAGCTATCCTCCTCAGTCTATTAATTTGCTCTATGAGAATAACCGTTGTGATGAGTTGTATAATTAACAACTTGGGATACTAGTCTTTTACACCTCAATTTTTACTCATTATTAAAATATCTACAGATTTCCTTATGAAGTGACGTAAATGAAGTTACTCAAGAAATGTTTAAACGACCAAATGCCATTTACAATATTTAACAGTATTCTTATCACTCGAAAAACTGCAAACAACACTGCCAAAGAGACTACCTTTATTTTTATCCAATATAGAACTGACTGCTTATTTTTGAGGTTGAAGAAGGCTGACGTAACAAACGGGCATGCGCATTATGTTTACACAGACCAGCTAGGCTATTTATGTTGTACGTCTTTAAATTTCACCAACATCGTCACAACTTTTAACTTATTGCCAAATAATTGCCTTTTATTTGTTTGTCCGTGTTTTTAGCAGAGCGGAAACCTTATGTAACTATGAACTTTGAATGAACTAAACCTTGGTTCTGTGAGCCCCAAACATTTTATAAAAATTTTAGTTCATGATAGACTACACAATCCCCGCCGATACCAATTAAATAATTAATTGTGATTTTAAGTGCTGATTAACCACGTGCTCAGCGGTTAAGGAAAATATTTTAAGGACATGCAGGTTATGTCTGAAAAATAAAATATTTTGTGAACATGTGAAGTTCGCCAACACTTACACCCGCGTCAATGAAATTGTTCATTGCAATTTTAAGTGCCGATTCACCATATGCTCGTAGATGAAGGCAAACATCGTGAGGAATCCTGCATGTCTAAAAAAGCACCAACAGGTATTGGAGCAACACGACAGACTAATTTCTTTAGAAATTAGAGATTCCTATACTCCATGAAACGAATACAAAACTGTAACTTTATTTATATTAATATTATGTTCCGTGTTAATTAATTAATCGGCTTAGGTAAGAATTACAATACCAACTCCAAAACACCGATTCCATGTAACATCTTTTTTATAAAATATGGGTGACAAACGAGCACAAAGTTCACTTGAAGTGGATGCTTTGGCCCATTGACATCTACATCTACTCTCGATTAAAAATCAAAATGCGTCTTAACCCCTGAGGACTAAAAATATATAGAATGCCTCGCTCCAGTTAAAAGGGTCTTCGGTTCTCTACACCCACTATACGAAACAAAGCAGCGTTAAGCTGCTATTTTACTTTGGTATTCTGTGAGAGCGTGGTCTTACCCCGGCCGAGCCGACCAACTCCAACCTTAATATTATAGCATGCAGCATGGCTCTACCATGTACAGAGTAAAACGTTTACTAATATTTTTACAATATTTTAAGACAAGGAAATATGTTCTATGTAAGGTGTTTTCACATCTCTCTTGGTATTTGTCGTAATACTTTTTACGTAATAATTTTGAACAAGCCTAAACTTGTTCTGTTTAAAGACCCTAACGGCTCTCACTTAGTTTTCTGTTTTAATTTTGGTTCTAGTGTCGGAACCGATAAATACCTTTCCAATATTTTTTGAGTCTCATCGATTCATGATAATTTTTTTTATTGTTACGAATACACCTGCTGTAGTTTTGCAGATTAAAGAAACGTAAAAATTAAACCTCATATTTATTGTGTTTCAGCATCTTCGTGTCACCAAGAGTTCAGCAGTGACGGTGCAAAACACGGAACGCTTACTTCGCCTCACTACCCACTGGCGTACCCACCAAATACTCACTGCCACTATGAGTTTTTCGGAAGGGGGAAGGAAAGAGTCAGATTGCTTTTTCATGACTTCTACTTACATAAGCCAGCAGACGGATCTCTAGAGTAAGTTTATTATTTAACCATCACTAAGTCAATTCTTGCCAAGAAAAAATCTGTTACCAATTTTATGTCATTTGAATAAAAAATACTGTCGCCATTATAATAATCAAATGAGACTATTACTATCTGTGAAACGTCTGTGATGGCAAACTGGATTATTAATATGCTAGAAATAGTGTAAATCCATTCTATAGATAAAGATAAAATATTTAATTATTTGGGGATATCTGGGTGACAAGGCATTAGAACAATAGGTTTTAACATATTGCTGTCGCACTGTGCCCAAATGACCGAGCTATACAACCAAGAAAGACAACTTCAGCTCATGTCTGACTATGCCTTTGCAAAATTGACGTAATCATCATCTCTATTTTTCTTGTTTCTTGATTACCTGTTTTTTATTTTCAAGAACTATGCCTATAATTGAAGGAATGTGGTTATATCTGTAGGTTTTTCTATTATTATAAGATCGTTATATTAGTTTCCTAGATGGCAATTTTAGTACCTAATAATTTTAAAGTTCCTAGTTTTAATTATAAAAATTATAAAAAATAAATAAAAACATAGGCATATTGTAGTGATAGACAAGAATATTGTACCGTAAAACATATTTGCTCCAGTTTCATTATTTAAGGAGAAAAAAGAGGAACAACGCCGTCGCTAGGATAATATCTGCGGGATTCACTCATCTGATGGAACGTATAAAACAAGCGTCTAATCTATGCGACACTTACAGTAATTATGGCATATTAAGTATCAAGCATTAGTTTATTTAACATTGTCTGGTTAAATAAAAATTCCATCCATTTAATATTATGTGGTTTTGAACTAGGATTTAAAACAATGACGTCTCTATTTTTCTAGTTGCGCAAATGTGGATTTACTGCAAGCATTCGTCAACGTAGACGGCAGATTAGAGAAAGTTGAGACATTCTGCGGGACTGACCTTCCAAAACCTGTTATGTCCAATGGACCCAAGTTAATGCTGGAATTTCGTGGGATTCATTCGTCAAGACACTCGAGAGGGTTCAAAATATCGTATTCATTTGTTGAAAGTAAGTAACTCTTCCCAGCTTTTTTGTGTGTACTTTATTGGCTGTTACAGTATTCAATTGTTATGGAAAGAGTTAAGGTATGTCGGTATGAGTAATCATTGCGTTCACGTTTATACGTTTGACACTTTGCGTCTTGCTCCAAGTACAAGTTGTCATAGCAACGCGGTACAATTGCGAAAAAAATTGTTTCAAATTTAAAACTATTAAACATATAAATATAGTATATAACATCAATATTAATTTAGAATTTTTAACTAAACTATAGATTCCTTTTGTAGAGATTTATGTTTATTTACATACATTTTTGGATTAGATGAAAATGTCAAATTGTTGATTTAGGACTCCAAAGTAGCTATCTTTAGGGAGTATCCTTTACATTTAGCATGCTTATGTTTACTCTAAAGGGCTATCCCAATTTCAGATACCTACAAATCAGGACGGACATATCCAATAATATGTCCGCATAATTGTTGCGTTCTGGAATTCCACGGCCCGCAACACCTGCGATATTGAGCCGTCAAATATTTTTTTCTTTTAATTGCGTTCTATTTCAATTTTTGTTATAATTCTCATTTTTTTAAAATATTTTAACAAATTTTTTTTAGTACCTAACTTAAAAAAAATTGTAAAAAAGCATGCAACTTACATGCATTTTTTACAATTTTTAACCACAATAATTGTAAATTGTATTTAATTCTTAAGTGTACTTGCACAAGGTTACGCACCTACCTTGTCTCGAGACATATACAAGTATGGCGCGTTTTATTAATGGTTTATTTATTAAGCTATAATAAATAAAATTTCAAATGATTTACGTGCCAAGTTCTAATTATATTATCAAATAACACGTAGGAAATAAAAAATATCTATCGTATCGGCAGAAAAAACCAACACCTTATCATCATCCAGGAATTCAGGTTTCGTAGAAGTATTTCAAATTAATGTGGTGCGTATAAAAAATAACTTAAGATTAGCAGCATGCACACATCGGTGCATGCTGTTAATCTCCTATCTATTTATATACGGTATATATATATATATATATATATATATATATATATAACGGTGGTAGAGCCACGTGGCAGTTTTTGCATTTGCACGTATGGGCCGGCTCAAGCCGGGTTGTTACCACGACCTCACAGAATACCGGCGTGAAGTAGAAGCTCTGCTTCTGCGTTTCGTCTGGTGAGTGCAGGTGGCCGGAGGCCCAATTCCCCAATCAACATGGTAGCGAAATTACACGAAAGACTACCCCAGGAGGGTACCAGCACCTCTGGAGAATCCCTCGCTGAGCATCCACGACCATGTTATTCCACTCCTGAGCGTGGGTGCTCAGGCTGCCCCGCGTATTCTGGGGGGGGGGGGGGGCAAAATTCCGCTCAAAAACATAACTGCTCGGGGCAAACTGAGCAACAATACCAAGGCGACCCCTGCCACATTATCCGTGAATTTCTGCAACATCAGGGGACTTCACTCGAACCTAAACGCCGCCCACTACCATCTCGAGACGGCGAAGCCGGCCTTGCTCTCTCTGACCGAGACGCAGGTGTCCTCTCCGGCTGATACTTTGTATCTCTCCTACCCGGGGTACAAATTGGAATACTCCTTTGTGCCTCGGGCTGGAGTTTGCGTGTATGTCAGAGAGGACATCTGTTCTCGACGCCTCGCCAGTCTTGAAGGTTCGGACCTGTCCATCTTTTGGCTGCGCGTAGACAGCGACGACCATCCGCGCGTCTACGGGTGCCTCTATAGGTCCCATAGCGGTAATGCCGAAACAGACCGACTCATCGACCACATCCAAATGGCTACAGATTCCTTGCTACAACAGGTCCCATCCGCAGAGATCGGGATCCTTGGCGATTTTAACGCCCACCACGCCGAATGGCTCGGTTCACGTTTAACCGATCATGCGGGGAGATCTGTTTATGATTTTGCCTTGGCATATGGTCTATACACAACTGGTTACTTCGCCTACGCGGATTCCAGATGTGAAGAATCATACACCTTCCCTGTTGGACCTTCTGCTGACCTCTCATCCGGACGGATATCAGGTTTCCGTCGATGCCCCTCTCGGCTCTTCGGACCATTGTCTGATCCGGAGTGTGGTGCCACTCACGCTCCCCTCGCGGTTGCGTTCTGCAGGTTGCCGCCGTGTTTGGCATTACAGGTCGGCGGATTGGGACGAAATGCGGTCTTTTTTGCATCCTACCCATGGGGGCGGGTTTGCTTCTCGCCGTATGATCCCAGCGCTGTTGCTGACTCTGTCACTGATGTGGTGCTACAGGGAATGGAACTATTTATTCCATCATCTGTGGTACCCATCGGAGGCAGATCTCAGTCTTGGTTTGGTCGCTCCTGTAAGACTGCATTACGCAGTAAGCAGGAGTATTATCAAGCCTGGGCTGCGGCTTCGGCGACTCGGGATGTAAACACCAGCACACTTAAAAAGAAGTATAACTTAGCCTCCAGGTCCTTCAAAAGAGTTATTGCCAAGGCAAAGTCAGAGCACATAGGCAGAATTGGAGAGAAACTAGTTCGCCTTCCTTCGGGTCCCCGTGAATTCTAGTCTCTCGCCAAGGCTGTCCAAGGGAATTTCTGTAAGGCATCACTACCATTTCTGCACAGGAAGGATAACTCACTGGCCCAAGCCGCAAAAGACAAAGCCGACCTCTTAGGTCAACTCGACCCTTGATGACGGGGGGAAAACACCGCCGACCACCCCGCGGTGTGAGTGCTCCATGTCGGATGTGCTGTTCTCACAGCGCTCGGTTTGCAAAACACTCCTCTCCCTGGACATCCAGAAGTCGAGTGGGCCTGACGGCATCCCCCAAATTGTGCTGAGGACGTGTGCTCCAGAGTTGGCACCGATCCTAACGAGTCTTTTCCGGTACTCCAACTCCCAAGGCGTAGTCCCGAATTCATGGAAGACAGCTTTTGTCCACCCGATCCCTAAAAAAGGCGACAGCTCAGACCCGTCCAACTATAGGCCTATCGCCATCACCTCCTTGTTCTTCAAAATAATGGAATCCATTATTAACTGCCAGCTCATGCGGTACCTTGAGGATCACCAGCTATTTAGTGACCACATACGGTTTTCGTCGGGGTCGATCTGCTGGTGATTTTCTGGTCTACCTGACCCATAGATGGGCGGAGGCAGTAGAGTCCAAAGGGGAGGCGTTGGCCGTTAGTTTGGACATTGCGAAGGCCTTCGATCGGGTTTGGCACAAATCTCTTCTTTCAAAGCTCCCTTCCTATGGGCTTCCCGATAAATTGTGCAATTGGATCACCAGCTTCCTTGCAGATCGGAGCATCAAGGTAGACGGCGCATGCTCGGACTACAAGCCTATTAACGCTGGTGTTCCACAAGGCTGTGTGCTATCACCAACGCTGTTTCTTCAGCATATCAATGATATGTTGCTAACTGGTAACATTCATTGCTATGCGGATGACAGCACTGGTGATGCTCTATACACCGGCCGTGCCAATATTTCTCGGGAAAACCTCGCCGAGTACTGGAACAAACTTGTGTCTGAAGTCGAGTCTTTGCTGAACAAAGTCTCGGATTGGGGGCGACTAAATCTAGCCCAGTTTAATCTTCAGAAGACACAAGTTTGCGCGTTTACCGCTAAAAAGAACCCCTTTATCGTATCTCCTTAGTTTCATGGCACTCCCCTTCTTGCCTCAGCCAGTATCGGAATCCTCGGAGTCGACATATCGAGTGACGTGCAGTTTCGAGGTCACTTGGAAGAGAAGGCCAAATTCGCCTCTAAAAAGCTTGGCGTGCTCAGCAGAGCGGGATAGTATTTCATGCCTTCACACCGCCTGCAACTTTACAAGGCGCAGGTTCGGCCTCGCATGGAATACTGTTCCCATCTCTTGGCAGGGGCTGCCCAGTGCCAGCTCCTTCCACTTGACCGCATCTAGCGCAGAGCGGCTCGAATCGTCGATGACCGAGTCCTTTCCGATCGACTCGATTCATTGGCTTTGCGAAGAGATGTTGCATTTTCTTTCGCATCTACCACGGGGAGTGCTCTGAGGAATTGTTCGGATTAATCCCAGCCGCCAAATTTCACGAACGCACATCGCAGCAGAACTCCCGATACCATCCACACCATCTGGATGATTGGCGTTCCACCACTGTGCGATTTAGAAAATGTTTTCTTCCTCGCACGACTTCCTTGTGGAATCGATTACCATCAGCGATTTTTCCGGACCGATACAACTTAGGGACATTCAAGAAAAGAGCCTTCTCTTTTTAAAAGGCAACGCATTTGCAATTCCCCTGGTGTTGCGGTTGTTCATGGGCGGCGGTAGTCACTTACCATCAGGTGAGCCGCATGTTCGTTTGTCCCCTCTCCTATAAAAAAATATATAAATAAATAAGCTATTATTATTTTGAAATTTTTTTCCCTTTTTTCTATTATCGCAATTTATTATGGGCGCCCATAGACCTAGTAAAAGTAAAGAGAGAATGCTGGTAAGTAGGTGGGACCTAAAGCCATATAGTATTTTTTTATGTGCGAGTAATATTTTATATAAATAAATTTAATATAAATTTCCCTTTAACTTAGCTAATGAATTCAATGAAAAAACCGAACAGTGTCTAAGAAAATATTAATGATTACAGAAATATTTTACTGGCTCGCACTGATAGACCGATAGACTCACTGTGGTTTACCCACAACCCACAAGTATAACATTTTATAATATTATAATCGATTAAAAATCACTGACGTTTTCGGGTTTAGTGATATTGATTTAACAAATATGAAAACAAACGAAGGAATACTACTACTACCCGTGAATGTACGCATTGGGAGCGTGCAGATCTTCGCTACTATTTCAAAGCATATCATATTTAACGTAATATTATGTAATAGACAATTTCTGTACGTAGGTTAAGCGCCGAGTGCCTTCGATGAAGCATGGTGTACAGATAAACCTTGTTAGGTTTTTGCGACACCGTGTTTAATTAATTGAAGCTTTGTATTTGATTTATTTTAATAACAAAAAATAACTTTTAAGCTAATTACAAAATATAATCTTTACTGAATTCAAAGTAAAGCATTTAATATATTTCCTATTTTTCATAGTTGTCTTTTACAGATTGGACAAAATGTGGTAATACATTGTGTGTGTAATAGTAAATTGCGTTTAAAAACGACCAACTTTACCTTTTTATAATTTAGACATTTAGGGTTAGCCAATTTGAATTTCTATAATCGTTAAGGCACGATAAAATATACAAAAATGAATGGGATGGACTCTCAACCACTGACCTGTATACTCGTACATATAATATATGGAGTGTAGAGTAGAAGGAGAACCATCTCTCTATATGAAAAGTGTCCCTAAAAACGCGTCCAATAAGGGTGGCGCTGTAGTAGCATAGGATAAATTTAAAAAAAAGCGCCAAAATTTATGAGAATAAGATGGAGAAATAAACAAGGACCGACCAATCCGCTTGGTTTTGTACTACGTAAATAGTCGAGGTTTTGTATACTGGCATTTTACTAACTACTCGTCATGAAATTTTTTAAATATTTTAATTCAGCTGACTTCACTCCGTCTACAACAGCTATATTCATATCGTAGTTTTTCAGACGCCAGCGCTATTGTGGTAGGTTTTGGAACCTCTATTTTTAGTATATATTGGGACACTTTTTCAACTTTCGCACCTTATAAGATGGTTCTCCTTCTACTCTACACTCCATAATATAATACAGTGCTCTCAACGTTTCAGTCATTTTGCCTTAGAGTATACATAAACAATCTAGGTATGCTAATGTTTACTCTAAGGGAATAGGACTAAAAGCACAGAATAAATAAAGTACTACGTAATAAAAACACAGAATAAATAAAAGTACTACGTACTAAAAGGCTTTGTAAAGGAGTATACATAAAGCGTTAACGATTGGAAAAAAATCAACTTCGCTAAGGCCGCTTCTAAGCTATCATGCCTCTTAGATGTCTATAAATTTAATAAAGGAACGCATATTCTGTTGGCAACGAAGGTAATTTTCAAAGTAATTAGTACTTCGAGAATTAGCCTTGAATATTTAAATATTAGTTGTAGCTGCAAAAGCCAGCACATAGCAAGCAAATACTTTGAGTGAATGTCACATAGATAACATTGTTCTTTTATTTTACTACAATATACTCATAGTCCCTGAGCTACCACGGCTCATTTTTGGAACTTTTCGACAGTAACTAAACAAAAGTTAACTTATATTATTTAATTTATAAAATGGGATCGCAATTTTTGACTACGTTGTATTGCTTTTATATTGGAAAAGGCGCTGTATTGAGTTTGGCGCTGTTAACATTTTTAATAGTCTGAGAGCTGGCGACGAATTGAGGGAAGGTTGTCTGCCAGACAGTCAGATCAGATTGGTTGTTGAGAAAGAACAACACAAGTTATCAAAAAAAACATTTTTTTTTGTAAATGTTATATGGTGCGCAGTAACGAAATAACCGTAAACGCTCTGTCAGACTCGCGGTACTGGATTCGCCAATTGACGAAATTATATTTTGTCGCAATTTCAACTTGCCAAAAGGACCTTCTCATAATTCATCATCAGCTCTTAGTTTATAAAAGCTAGCATTTCTTTTACAAAATTTAGCTGTAATTTTTTTATAAATAAACGCACCAAAACATACAAAAGAGTACAATGCAAGTACTCTTTGTAACATGTCGAACATTGCTAAACAGACACGAATCACGAATTTCACACCTCAACCAAAATTAGAGCCATTGCAAACATCCGGGCCTGGCAGTAGATACAGTATGTATCCGACAGCGTTGATTATCTGGTGATCTGGTGGTCAGTGCCTGGCTATTTTGGCATACATTTTTGAGTTTTCGGGTGTTAATGTTGTGATAAAAATGGCATTAGGTAAATGTTTTCGTCTTGATATTAAACTTTATTGAATTAAAAATTGGACATTGGACCACGCGACTACTACATTAGATCCACCCATCCATCTCAGATTCGGTGCCAGCCGAGGACTAATATTGGCGTAAATAACTCAAATTGTTGGTCTCAAATGTAGGTCTAGATGTAATTCAATGCATCTTACTTCTATCTCCTATGTAATTTTACATTAACGTTACTTTGGGTACGGTGAGAAAATAAGGAAAAGCTACATTCTCTCTTTTTATGTGCACACTTTTGGATGTGGCCCTACTTTGGTAAAAAAACTGTCACGACTAGAACTATCAAGGAGAATATCATCATCCGTTACCAATACCATTACAGCTTATTAAAGTCCACTATTGAACATACGCCTCTCTCATAGATTGCCTCATAGTGAAGATATTTGTTATAGTTGCCACGCCTGGCATGCAACCGCAGTTTATTTTATTTTTAGTCGTTATTAGGAAGACGCTGCTGCCGATCTCCTGATATGTTTCCTTCTGTCGCCTCTTACGACAACCATGGGACGATATTGGATAGTGAATATACTGACACATCATCATCATCATCATTATTTAGCACCTGCATTAGTTCTAATTACAAACGTTGATATAGCTATAACAAACAACGTGATTGCCGTTAACGAGGAAAGATTTTTCTTACCTATTCAACCAGTACTTGACTACAATCCCACCTGATCGTAAGTAGTTATGAAGTCCTACATCAAAAATCAAAGTGTATTATCGTGATAAAAGCCTATTGTATCATTAATTTGCTAAGTGCAAGCAATGGCGGTTATTATTACCTGCAATCTCCCTTCATACTGTTTTGATCGTGGCTGACTGGCTGACGATGGTTAGCTAGGGACCGAAATTTCGTAGTTCAAACCGTCGAATTAAATCTGAGTAAAAATAATTATTATTATTAATCATTATATGTATAAGCCGCATAATTTATTTTTAACCCTGCGATTGCCAACGCGCCTGCCAAGCGTGGCAACTATTACAAAATCCCCCTATGAGACAATCTATGGGGGAGGTCTCTGAACTGAGGCCTGGCTCTGAGGAACTCGTCAGTGCCCCACACGAGCGTAGTTAGAGGGTTAAAAGCGAATCTTGGTTCGGTTCTAAATCCGTCCCTGTGTTGAAGTTATAATTCCTTCTTCTGTAAAAATGTTTATGTTACAACGTGCGCACATCCAACAATTAAATATCTTTAAAATGTTTTTCAGACTTTGGTATTACTACGGGGAGGCAGCTGAAAGAGTTCCCATGCGCTTTCGTTTACAATAGCTCCGAAAGTCGAAACGGTACCTTCGCTTCCCCCAACTGGCCCGGACCCTATCCACGTGACACAGAATGCACTTATTTCTTTCACGGAAGTCAGACTGAGAAAGTGCATTTACACTTTACGAACTTTGGTGTCGAAGGAGTTTTACCGTAAGTTTACATAATTATTAGATAATGTATATTGATGACATTAATCCAGAAAGTACTCCTGTGGGCGGCGTTTTAAAGAATGGTTTCATACGTAAATTCGAGAGGTTTTTAATAGAAAACGACTAATGCTAAGTGTATGTAGCATAAAGTTTTGTACAATAAACACAAAACAAGGTTTTTCTATTCTACCGTAGAGAGTCTGCCATCCTAAAAAATAAAATCTACACGAACTACGAGAGGAGTGTTCAGTTTTAAATATAGGAGGATGTATACCTTACGCAATGTCTTGAGTGTTAACTCCTACATTTAGGCTCCAGCTTTGTAAATTAAAATGGTAATTCCGAAGAAATGAGAGACTTTATTTACAACGTCACACCATATCAGCCTTCATTAAAATATAATTATCGTCTTATTCTACATATTTTTTTTTAGAATAATAGTATTCGGACTTTCATCCACAAATTATTCTGTATTTGACCATGGGCGTCGGTCAAAACCATTTTCGCCTAATTTTCGCAATCAAAACCAATGATCGCTTGTATAACACGTGTAAAAAGCGCTCGTTGCCTTCACCCATACAAAAATACATTTTAGCGATAGCGATGGCACAAAAGGGTATGCCATCCTGGGTAAGAAGATCCAGAGCTGATAGCGAACCACTATTGAATCCATTTTTGAAAATTTCTGCTCAATAACATATTTCCTTTTATTTTTAATGTATTTGTATCAATTTGATACAATTTTGGACGACGATACTTTTGTGTTTTATTGCGGCATTTAAGATTATGCCTCTCAATAAACATAAATTTAGAATACATAAATCGTAAGAACTTATGGAAGAACAATCCTTTAACAAATGTATCTCATAATTTCCAATGTTAGCTCACCAATTTTTCTTATATTTTTTTTCATCGAAATAGTACAACACTCTTGGAATTATTTCAACAATATTCAATTAAACATTTTTTACGTGGTAGAGCACGAATGGATCAGCTCGACCAGGGAAGGACCACGCTCTCACAGAATACCAGCGTAAAATAGTGGCTTAACACTGCTGTTTCGTATGGTGAGTGTAGAGAACCGGAGACCCTTTTTACTGGAAAAGACGCATTCCATCTTAGACCTCAGGGGTGACAACGCATCTGCATATTGATTCGCAAACGAGGATAGATGTAGATGTCTTTGGGCCACAGCAACCACTTACCGTCAGGTGGACTGTGTGCTCGTTTGTCACCCTATCCTATAAAAAAAAACTAAATCAAAATGCACCTTACGTCCGCGTGCGAATGTATGTATCACTTAGCCCGTTACGCGCCTTTGTTAAGGCCGCTCCTACTTTAGTGTTAGGTGTTGTGAGAAAATAAATTGAATCCTTTGATATTAGTGGCTATATAGTAGAATACACCGAGGTGTTATGCAATGCAGAAAGTTATTATCAATGGTAAAAGTTCTTCCGGCTCGCCTCTAATAATGGGTATCCCTCAGGGCTCGATTCTCGGCCCATTCCTATTTCTAGTGAATATTAATGACTTACCTTCTCTTGTAGAGGATAATCATGATATAGTATTATTTGCTGATGATACTTCATTGATTTTTAAACTTCAACGTCAATCATTTAAATGTGACGAAGTGAATAATGCTATATCAAAATTAGTGCATTGGTTTAACGTTAATAATCTACATTTAAACGGAAATAAAACTAAATGTATTAAATTTCCAATAACGAATGTTAAAAATCTGAGTACCAATGTGTTTTTAAATGGGGAAGGACTGAGCCCTGTTGAATCCACTGTTTTTCTTGGCATCACTCTCGACGCAAAGCTTCAGTGGGGTCCTCATATATCCAAACTAGCAAGCAGACTAAGTTCTGCAGCCTATGCTGTAAAAAAGATTAGAGGTCTCACTAGTGTCGAGACAGCTAGATTAGTTTATTTCAGTTATTTCCATAGCATAATGTCTTATGGGATTTTGCTATGGGGAAATGCGGCTGATTCAGAAACTATTTTTGTTTTACAGAAGAGGGCCATTAGAGCTATTTACAACCTAAAACCGAGAGAGTCTCTTAGAGATAAATTTAAAGAAATAAATATATTAACTTTGGCCTCTCAGTATATTTACGAAAATTTAATGTATGTTCACAAAAGCAAAGGTAGTTTTAGTAAAAAAAAGTGATATACATTCTGTAAACACTAGGAAAAAACACAAGCTAGTGATACCAGTTTCTCGACTCCACAGAGTCAGTAATTCATTCTTGGGGCAATGTATACGCTATTACAACAAGGTCCCGGAAAATGTACAGGCTCTCCCTATTAGCAAGTTTAAATGTTTTGTTAAGTTGAAACTGTATAAAAAGGGTTATTATCACAGAACACGGAATAAGACATGTTTTTCTGTTTTCTATGGTTATTATAGTATAAATGAATACATGGTTGATAATAACCCCTGGGAATGAGGTGATCGCTTCCAAGCTGTTTCTAAAATAAATTTTGTACTTATATAGTTTGTACAACCATTATTGTAAAATTTGCTTTTAAAAAAAGTCCCGCTGGGTTTCTTGCTGTTTCTTTCCAGGACAGAGGTTTTTTTTCGAACCAGTGGTAAAGTAAAAAATGACTTTCAATAAGAATTACACATGTGATCTATATTGAATAAAAAATTATTCTATTCTATTGTATTCTAATGTATTAGTATTTTTTTATTTTGTTAAAAAAAAAACGTTACCTCCACTAGGATTTTCTCCTGTTTCGTGGAGGCAGTTTACAAACATAAATTGCACAAAGACAAACATATAGACCCGGAACAATTATTTGTAGGCCATACAAATACTTATTCCATGCGGGATTCGAACCCGCGGAGCCGTCAATTTTCTGATAATAAAAATATTACTGTCCAATGTAAGGAAGGTTAATTTGCAATAGGAAAATGAAGATTATAACCACTTTCAACAGATTTCAAAAAAGGAGGACGTACTCAATTCGAGTGTAATTTTTTAACGTGTGTTACCTCAGAACTTTTTTCTAGGTGAATCGATTTTGATGATTCTATTTTTATTTGAAAACTGGTGCTTATAATTTATACATCCCATATACAACTCTGTGTAAAAAGTATCGGGAATATGTCAATAAAAAGACCCGCGTAAAAGAGGTCGTTCTAATTTTTTTACTGCATGTTGGTAGCACTGTACTGATTTAGCGCGCAAAGTTTGAGCGGGATCTGTCATTTAATTTGTTTTAAACTACACTTTTTGTTGGTCATAGTTTTGAGATCTCGGCGATTTTTACAATGGAAAATATTGTTGAACAAAGTGTGCCTTAAATTTTGTGTTTCGAATGATATTTCATGTGGTGAATCACTAAAAATGTTGCGAAATACCTACGGCGAATCGTTTATATCGAAAACAAGGGCTTATGAATGGTATAAGGCTTTTAAAGAAGGCCGAGAAGTAGTAGTAGACTTGCCTCGTTCTGGTAGACCTTCAACCGCTACGACCAAAGAAAATATCAACAAAATCAAGAAGCTAGTGCTCGAAAATCGACGTATGAGTCTGAGAGAGTTGGCTAGTGAGGTGAACATATCTTTTAAGTCCGTCCACAACAATCTCATTGACATTTTAGGCATGAAACGCGTCGGCGCTCAACTAGTTCCAAAAGAGCTCAATTTTGTTCAAAGAGCGCAGCGAAAGCATGTCGCTGAATACATGGTTTCCCGAGCTTCTACGGATCCGACCTTTATGAAACGTATAATACCTGGCGACGAGACATGGGTTTATGAGTACGACATGCAAACAAGCCAACAGTCTTCAGAATGGCGTCTCGAAAACGAGCCGAAACCCACAAAACCGCGGCAAAGTCGCTCCAAAATCAAGGTGATGCTGACAGTTTTTTTGACTACCGTGGTGTGGTTCACTCCGAATTCCTTCCAAAGGGAGAAACAGTGAATAAAGAATATTATTTAGGCGTCATGAAGCGTTTGCGTGAGAGTATCCGCCGAAAACGTCCAGATTTGTGGCAACACAACTCATGGATGCTGCACCATGATAATGCACCATCACACACAGCCATTATAGTGAAAGAGTTTTTAGCGAAAAATTCAACAAAAGTTCTCGACCAAGCACCGTATTCACCTGATATGGCTCCGTCTGACTTTTTTTTATTTCCCAAGTTAAAATTACCACTTCGAAGAAAACGTTTTGAGTCGATAGAAGCCATAAAAAAATTCGCTGAATGAGCTAAAGGCCATACCGCAAATAGCCTATGAAAAATGTATGGAAGACTGGGTGAAGCGTTGGAGATGTTGTATTGCAAGCGATGGGGCCTACTTTGAAGGCGATAAAATAAATTTAGATGAATAATTTGTATTTTTTGTTTTATTTACAAATTCCCGATATTTAGTACAAATAATGTAAATTTGATCAAGATCTAACCAGTAGTTTTGGAGTTATCCTTGTGTGTTGTTACTCTTAATAATGCGTATTATTAATATTGAAGTCGGTTGTACAAAATTTTTAAACTTATTAGTTGTCTCTCTTCCTATCTTTTTAAAAAACGTTACCTCCACACTAGGATTTTCTCCTATATCGCAGGGACAGTTTACATGCATAGAACAGACCTAGAACAATTATTTGTAAGGCCATACAAATACTTGTTCCGTACGGGATTCGAAACCGTGTTTCTTAGCGCTGCAGCTCATTCTAAGCCACTGGCGCCACGGAGCCGTCATTCTCTGCTTCACTGTTTTTTTTTGCTATTCACAAACATGCGACACGCTAGGGCTATATTAATAATTATTATTAACAATCAGTATATATGCTGATCTTGCATTAGTAGGCAGCCACTAGTACTGGGAATTCTACTTACACTGAACATTTTTTAGGTCATTGGCATTATACGCAAAAAAATCAAAAACTGCGAAGCTGGGTCGCTAATCAAATAATAATATATATAAATCTGTAACAATGGCGTCAGTAACTAAGTACCTAATTATCTAGATCTACCTATAAATAATAATACTACTAATAATAACCTTTCGGTATCCTTAGGAACAATAAAGAAAAGTCAGAATGAAAAATCGTCATCCCTATTGTTATTTAAGCACCCGCATACTATACAAGGTACTGCATTGGCTTTTTCAGAGGCCATACTTGAATAAAAACTCAAAAATTAATATCAAAAGTGGCTAATACCTAATACTTATAAGACAAAATTAATTTTCTACCGACTTCAAAAAGGAGACGGAATTCAATTTGAATGTATGTTTTTTTTAATGTGTGTTACCTCATAACTTTTTACTGGGTGGACCGATCTCGATGATTCTTTTTTTATTTAAAAGCTGGTGCGTCACATGTGGTCCCATATAAATTTCATCAAGGTCTAACCAATAGTTTTTGAGTTATTCTTAATAATTTATATTGAAGTCGGTTGTACAATATTTTTAATTTTGTACAACCGACTAAATGGTGTAGTGAATTCTCTTACACCGTCGCTACACGGCCACCATGACTTTTTATTGTGATATTATATATTATGAACACTTTATTAACGCAAAATTCCAGATGTGAAGCCATATCGGGGAGTGATTACGTAGAGTTTTCCAACTACATGACCGAGGATAGCAGGTTCGGCCGATACTGCGGCCAGATGAAAGAGTTCCACGTGGAGTCCGACAGGGATTTCTTCAAAGTGACGTTTCGATCTAACGACCGATTAGACGGAATGGGTTTCAAAGCGATGTATCAATTTTTAGAAGTCACCGACGAGTATCGAGCTCCGCTTCAAGATAGAGCTTCGTTTTCTGCGAGTAAGTTTTGTACTGTGACTTTTTTTTAATAAAATTAGATTTTGACAAAATATTCCGTAAGGGAATAAAAAGATGTGTCACGGTTCGTATAGAAAAATTCAAAAATAAAGATTATAACTTCAGGGTGGTCTCATAAAAATTTTAAGACAAAAACCCTCACCTAATGATTAAATAATAAGGAATGAATTATTTAATGTTAAAATTTAAACATCATTCTATTTGTTACCGTTTTAATAAAAAGTAAAATCCGACTTCAAAAAACTAATGTAACACGTATTAGCTTCTAAAGACGAAGACTTTAATTCTTTGATATACTGCCTTAACATTTTTTAGTAGTTTTTAATGGGCAATCTTGTAACTTCTAGAAATTTCACTTAGTTAACTTTTGGGTAGTCAGGATTGAAAAATAACTAATTTAATTAAAAATGTTTTTTGATATTTCGTGACATGGTTTAGAACCGCCTACTCCAAAGCGCGCGTATTGCGAATATGAGCGTGTTAGGTGAGCCATCAAAGTTGAACGTCACAGTAGAAAATATTGAATGGATGTTCCGGTTTCTGTCAGAACAAAAATATTTATTAATTCGAATGTTCCGGTAGGTGGTAATATTGCAATAAATCGTTGCTACAGTTTTACTACGGTCAGGGACCGGCGCACTCTTCTTTTCAGATGCCCCTGGAGTAGCAAGGAAAATATTTTATGCTAAATTTATTTTCTTGTAATCGAGAATAGATGTGGATGTCTATGGGCCGCAGCAAGCACTTACCATCAGGTGGACTGTGTGCTCGTTTGTCACCCTTATTCTATAAAAAAATCTTCAGTAGCGTCCCAAAGAATCTAGTGCTCCGTTCTGTATCTATCTAATAACACAATCTATGTTGTATCTCATTATACACGTGAGTATGGCCTCGGGTCATGGCAACACTATTTCAGGCTCAAATGTTAAGTGTTACCTTATAGTATTCTAGCCTGCATCAGCACAGGCCTCCTCTCACAACTGAGAAGATAGTTCCGCGTTGCTCTAATGCAAGTCAGCGGACTTATCATGTCTTTGAGTTATTTGTATGTATACCTCAGACATGCATGTGCATATCAGCATTTTAAATTCATAAAGACTGAACCCAAGTTGCCCGTTCACTGGTGAGCATTTAACTCTTGAACCTCCACCGTCCTCTAGGTCACATTCATAATTTATTAAATACAATATGATAAATGTAACAGTGGTAGAGCCAGGCGGCAGCTTTTGCTGTCGCACGGATGGGCCGGCTCGAACCGGGGTGGTACCACGACCTCACAGAATACCAGCGTGAAGTAGAGGTTTACCTCTGCGTTTCGCTTGGTGAGTGCAGGTGGCCGGAGGCCCTTTTTACTGGAAATGAGGCATTCCATCCTAGTCCTCACGGGTGACAACGCATCTATATTTTGATTCGCAAACGAGGATAAATGTAGATGTCTATGGGCCACAGCAACCACTTACCATCAGGTGGACTGTGTGCTCGTTTGTCACCCTATCCTATAAAAAAAAAATGAATTTAAGGATTAATGCGTGAATTATACAATTAATTTGACAATTAGGGAACCCAACGACTTTTTCTTCCACCAGGGCGGCACCACTTAGGAATGAGGTGAAATATTTGACAGATTGCTTAGCGGCGGAAGTTAATTTGTAAAGAAAATATAAAGCTTTCTCTCTGAAATATTACATTTTATATCAATATTTTTTTAAATTATTTATATTTTATTCATTAGAAATGAGGAAACCAAACTACGGAGTACGGATACCCAAAGTAGAAAAATTAAAAAGTGTTTTAAAAAACGTGCAAAATGTTAAAGAGCAGAGTAGATACCGATAAACTTACTACTTACTAATTTAAAAAGCCAACTTCTCCATTATAATGTCATTGTGTATTTAACAAATAAGTTCTTCTCAGTCCCAACTAGCGACATCTGGTAAACACAAGATTATTACCCATTATTGTTTACCACTCTTAAGTAGGTGAGGTCATTCGAATAGAGCAAAATTCCCTACAATGCCCCAATGCGTGGCGGAATTCACACCAAGACCTCAAAATATTTTAATTTCTCAGAAAACCCATTCCAAAAAACTTGCAAATCATTGGTACTGACCTGGATAGAACTTGGGTTTTTCTTGAACTCTAAAATTCATTTAATGCCAAACCCCTACACCATTGCTCAAAAACTACAAATGTGCAATCATTTGGTATGTTATATTAATGTATTTTTAACTTTTTAAGGTATTCTAGGAGGCCTGATACTCGTCGCAGCTATCGCAACACAACTACATGGGTTATATCATTAAATAAAGTGATATTAGAATAATTATAACTATTAGTCTATTAATCCTGTACATTTTGTACCATAGTAAGTGCCGTATCTACTCTTGTAATTTAATGTAGAACTGAAATATTTTCTATAAAATTATTTAAGTTTTCGTCTATTAACATTACCAACTAAAGCAATATAACACAATAAAGTCTTACTCACGCAGGCACGTCGTATTATAAATAAAATGTATGAAAATTTATGTTTTTGTTTTATTTAAATACCCGTATATATGTATATATGTATGTACTTATTGTAACCGTTAAATTTATATAAGTAAAATCTAATTTTTTATTAATTTTTACATAAACACGCCATTTATTATGATCCTGACACACCTTACGTGGTAGAACCATGCTGCATCTATATTAATAGTATAGTTGTAGCACGAATGGATCGGCTCGACCGGGGAAGGACCACGCTCTCACAGAATACCAGCGTAATATGGTGAGTGTAGAGAACCGGAGACCCATTTTACTGGAAAATAGGCATTCTACCTTACGGCTGACAATGCATCTGCATTTTAATTCGCAAACGAAGATAGATGTAGATGTCTATGGGCCACAGCAACCACTTACCATCAGGTGGACTGTCGTTGTCACCCTTATTCTATAAAAAAAAAACACCTCTCTCGTTACATCCATATATCTATGCATATATGCTCGTTTATTAACGCTTAGGCTTAGTTTATCCACCAATTTGGCCCATCTTGCCAATTTGGTCGATAAACTTTCGTCTAGGGCGTCCCTAACCGTCTCTGCCGTTCACTTCTGCAAGATAAATTTGCTTTGTCACTTAAACACACAAAATTTATAGATAAATTAATCAGGCAGTTATCGTGAGGTGATTACGGTATATGATAGGGCTTCATTTCTCTCTGGGTCATACCCAACGAGTTCCGTTTAGTGTGTACCCTACCTTAAAGATGTGTTTGCCGATTAGCAACAGTGTACTCGACACCGTTCAGTATTTCTGTTGAGGGTATTGAGAGCCAGTATAACAGCTGATTGCCGTGTAGTGGCGGCATTAGAAAATCCACTTCCCTATGTCATTCTATGAAACTGAAACAAGAGGTTTACAGCAGGTTCTCCCTAGCAACAATTCATAAAAAAATAAAAAATTACGCTTGCGAACCCGCATGCTAAAGCAATGCTAAAAGCACAAAAAAAACAATGATCTACATACAAGGCGGCTTAAGACTATAAGTGATGGAGTGTGTGGCTCGGCGTAATGCTGCAGGGTAACTTACAGCGCTGATAATTCTGCCAAAACTATGATCGCGCGCGAAACGCGCATGATCTGTCAAAGGTGTCAACTATGGCAAATATCCTCCCAAAAAGGCAAACTATGGGAGAGGCTTATGTTCAGCAGTTTACTTTGATTAGTGATGAACAGTTAAAAATTACATTATATTACAATATCAATAATTTTATTAAAGTACCCACCTATACTATCGTGGAGTTTTAGTCAAGCAAAGGTTATTATAAGATTTTTTTTAAATGTCTGTTCTGAAGATCTGAAGAGATGGCGGCTAATTTGACAAACTCTTAAATAAATATGTATTATGCTATGGTTTTACAGGTGTTTAAACATTACAAACATCTGTATAAGTTCTGGTACATATATGCATAAACTCGTACGCTTGTCACTCAGACAGATATGGAGAGACTACGAGGTTACATATGTAACGATCCTGACACCACTCTCCCTTCTTTCACATCCAGATACTTACACGCTGTAGGTATCTGGATGTGAAAGGAGGAGACTAATATCGACGTGGGCGAACTCGCATCAGGGAGGACCCTTTTTCTTCGTTCTCAAGATCTACCTAATAGATCTATCCTACCAAACATACTTTGACACGACATACCTATATACCTCATAGGCTCATAGTTATTAATTCCTGACAAGTCTCGTCTTCCGTCAATCTAACGGTCGCGGTCTTTGAAGGTAGAGTTACAACGGCATCGCAGTCGCACTTAAGAGGAGCTTCCTGCGAGGCGCCAAACAAACACGCTTTTAAATTTGTGACGTTATTTTTAGAGCGTAAAAGTGATCAAATTGATTAGTCATCTGTGGTAAAATCGGGGGGCATCGCATTTTAAGAGGGCTCGCTAGGCCCCTTTAAATGCGAGGCCGTGGGCGAGGGCCTACTTTGCCCACGCCTAGCTACGCCACTGTCTACGGGTATATGTATGGTCGTCAGTTAAGGGTGCGTTTAATTTGGCATATTTTCTATCATATTGAATATGGGTCAAATATTTTCATGACTTAATAAAATTTTGAACCGTAATTTGACAGTCTGTCGTCTGCTAATACATTTCAGGGAAATACAATTTTATTGGGCATGTGAAAGACACGTTCTCAGTATTTAAGTGAATAAAGTTAAAACCTATATAGTCCCACAGCTGGGCACAGGCCTCCTCTCACTTCTGAGAGGGTTTTTAGGGCAAGGAAGTGTCAACCGCGCTGCGTGTTGGCGGACCTCACGTGTATTCGAAATATTTTTTTTTATTTTACACATCATGCAGGTTTCCTCACGATGTTTTATAAATCCAAGTGAATATTTTAAACAAACTACAAGTGCGTGAACTGACTGTTCTGTTCTTAACACACAAATAATCATAATAATCATAGATAAGTCATCGCGCGCTCTGACTAGATACCGCCGGCGCTCATGTAAAATGCGGCAACAAATACTACGCCGTAATCGGCGTACCCAAGCCAGTCGCGTTGCAGGCAACATGTGAGGTGAACGTACCGAATGTTTTTTTAAAATTTTGATCATAATCTTAAGTAAAATACCAGTTTACGTATTGAAACTGTAAAAATAATACTACAAGAAATAAGAAAGACACTGGAATCAAATACTATCATAAAGTATCATACAATTTTGAAATTTTAACATAAAATAACACGAGCCATAAATAAGTCACAAAATATCAATGACGCTATTCAGTGTTGCCGCGAATGCAAAAATAAAGTTCAGCGTGGCTGAGATTTTTATATGTGAATTTATTGTTACTGTATTTTATCATATAATATATTTAACTTATTGTAATAACCTAATTCTATATTATTTAATGTTTATGTTTACGCCCGAACGCTGATTTCGGGATTGACGTCAGAGGGCGCTCGGCTCGGCGCCATACCGGTTTTGACGTTCGGTCGAGCGATGTGTTGAGGGCGCGCGAGCGCACGAGTCGCCTGCCAGCTGTGCTAACGTCAGCACGCTGTCAATTTTTGTGCGGGAAACGCGGAATAGTTTAGGCGTCTAGTAAATATACTGTCTAGGATTTGTACGCGAATTCCTTGTTGGATAGCCTTTCCCGGGACTTACTGTGTCCGACTCAGAATCTGTATAAGTGCATTCGACAATATTAGCTAGTGCGGCCTTTGATTTTCTAGAAATAACTGTTGCCACGCGAAACGGTAGTGACCTTTGATCCGGACACTCTGTGTTCGTTTTGTGTGTTAACCTTTATAACAAACGAGAGTTAGTGGCTTCTGTAAGTTAGTTAATCGTACGAGGAAGTTAATGGACTGTCATCGTGACGAACGAAGAAAGTGACTGTGGACGGCGCCGCGGAAGATTACCTCAATTTGGAGCGGTGCTGACGTCCGGGCTGCTGCCGACGGCAAAGGTCTAATAAGGTCAATCACCACCAGACACACACAGATACACATCACAGCACCTTATTTCCCTTGCACCACACAACCACATGCGACCTGACCGAATCCTGAGGGACCAGTCGCCTTGGGTATAGGTAAGTAAGCTCGGTTTAATATTGTCCCTGTTGAATGACAGTAGTATAGAACGCTCCCCCTTATTGTTTATTGTAATTAGAGACTTTCCACGCTGCCATATTGAGGCCCGACCTACGTCTGTTCATTGAAACTCCGCTGATGGGCCCCGGAGGATTGAACCTTTATGGGAGCAGCCGTAGGCCGTAACAGTTTATTTCTGTAGTATTGCTCAAATGACATAATTGCAGTTTATTAGGGTTCCATACGCAAAGAGTATCAACGAGACCCTAGTCTCCACTATCGTTCCGTCTGTCTGTCAGTAGGCTGTATCTTATGAACCGTAATATGTAGAATTTTCACAGAATGTGTATTTATATTGCTGCTATAACAACATAAAATAAAAAAGAAAACAAGTAAAATATTAAAGGACCCAAAAAAAACGTTTCTTGTATGAAGACCATACAAGAAAATTGATTTTTTTCTGTATTGATATGTGTTTTGTTTACAAAGTGAAACCTGGATTAACACGCTATAAAATGTTGCTGTGTATATGATGGGATTGAAAGTTTATCATGAGCTTTTACCGCCGAGTAAATCCATCGATTCGGATCTCTACAACCAATAAATAATGAGACAAGCAAGAAATAGAAAAAAAAAACCGGCCGGCATTGATAATCAGAAAAGGAGTGGTCTTTCATCATGATTACGCCAGATCACAAGATTAGTTATCTGTTTGAGACTTTCAATATACAGTAACATTCCTAAAAATCTAGTATTTCCTTGAGTACTTAAAACTGGTTTAAAATTTTTAGTCATTATTTTCTTTTGTTGTTTGTGTTCTTCAAAATGAAGCTTTCTGGAGGTTTTAATATTTAATTTTATAATTTTTTTTCCATTATAAATGGGTTTCAAATCTCTGGTATTGAATATTATATTAAATAAAACTACTTACTACAAATTATCGAACAGAATGGACCCATATATATTATAATTAAATGTAATAAAACTTTAAAACAAAAACGGCTTGAATTTGTATACATTATACGAAGAAACTTTTTCCCCGGTCTTATATACTAAAGGTGTAACAAAATAGTACTTAATAACTTAGGGAATGATTCTGCCCGTCAACATGAATATTTTTTATTATGGGATCATCTTCGTAATTTTTAATTTATACGTGATAGACCCATACTGCAGCTATATTACTGGTATAATTGTAGAACGAATGGGTCAGCTCGACCGGGGATGGACCACGCTCTCACAGAATACCAGTGTAAAATAGGAGCTTAACGCTACTGTGTTTCCTATGGTGAGTGTAGAGAACCGGAGACCCTTTTTACTGGAAACGAGGCATTCCATTTTAGTCCTCAGGGGTTGCAACGCATCTGCATTTTGGTTCTTAACCGAGGATAGATGTATATGTCTATGGGCCACAGCAACCACTTACCATCAGG